TGGGCGGCTGTGTCCTGAGAACGTGATGGTTGGCGTGGAGGGGCGGTGCCGACTGAAGGGCATGCTGCTGGGCGCCGCGCCGCTGATGGTGCACCACGAGTCGTACTACGTGAGCCCCGAGGTGGCCGCCGGGGGAGCAAAGACGGCAGCGAGCGACATGTACGCGCTGGGGCTGCTGCTGCTTGCGATGCTGGTGGACTCCCACCCCTGGCAGTGGAATGCGACTGCGGCGCTGGATCGCTCACGGAAGGAACTTGACTCGCTGCTGGCCGACAGTGCGGCGTTCCGCGAGGCGCTGCGCCATGGGCTGGTGGAGCCGGTGCCGCCCCCTGCAGACGTGGACGACGCGCTGCGGGCCGTGCTGAAGGCGTCTCTCTGCGCTGCTGCGGTTGAGCGCGGTGATGTGTTCCTTGCTGTTTGTTTTTTGTTTTACTCGCATACATGTGTGCACTGTATGTTGGCCTTTCGTCTTTGTGTGGCGTGGATGAGTCTTGCTCTTGTGGCTGCTGCCCAAACGAAGGTTCTGCCTGCTGTGAGGGCGCCTGATGAATGTGGGGACGCGTGTGTCTTGTGTTGTGCGTGTAAGCCTGTGAGGGGCACGCCTGCCGGGTCTCTTTCTGTATGTCTGTGTGCGTGTGTGTGTGGTGTCGAAGAGGTCGCAGTGGGTCTGAGCGCAGTGTTGTTGTGACGGCGCTGTGGGGCGGGTAGGGAGGGTGGGCTCTGCCCATCTTCGGTCGGCTCACGATGCCGCGGCGCACTTCGTTGGTGGCGGCGGCGTTCCTTTTGAAAACTGCCCGTGCCTCGCTTTCCTTTTGGCGGGGACAGCAACGTGGCCTGCCGTTGTCCCCGCGACGGGGCTGTGGGTGTGGCTGCTGCCGTGCACTGCCGACCGTTGTTGTTGTTTTGTTGCTGCGCGGTTTCTTTTTTGCGGGCGTTGGTGTCGCCCGCGCGGAGGAGCGCACCTCAGTGCACGCACCCCTGCGCGCGTGTTGAGGGTGGTTTTTGCCCGCTGCTGCGCTCTCACCCTTCCCGTTGTTCCCGCGTGTTTTTTGTGTGTTTGCCATCGCGGGAAAAGTGAGGGGGGCGGCGGACGTGTCCCGGCCTTCCCCGCGCACTTGCGAGACGGCGGAGCGCCGTCAGTGGCCGTGCAACCTCTTGCAGATGTGGGCCGTCGCGCCGAGTGCACTGCGTTCACTCCCCTCTTCTTCTGCCTACTCGGCGTAGCGAAGGTGCAGTGTGGCCCACGAACAACAGCTGTGGGGGATGGCCGGTGTGGGAGACAGCGAGAGTAACGGCAGCGCGGACGGGGCCCCTTCGGGGGATCAGCGCGTTGCGTTGGCCACCCAGCGCGCGGCCATCATTCCCGAGGAGGTCCGGAGGGACAGTGAAAGTGGCGCCTTGAATTTGCGACGGCCCCCGCACGGCAGTGAGGGAGTGCCCGCGCAGGTGCCCGAAGGCTTTGGCCGCGGAGTGATTCTTCACGGCGATCGGCAGGCACCGTTGCGCAGAACTCAGCAGCTGGAGTGCAACGAGCAAAACCCCTTGAATGCGGGGCGGCAGCCCTCCCCCGCGGGCACAGAGGCCGTGCAGCCCAGCGAACAGGAGACAGAGGACAAGATGGACGCTAGTGCCGTCTTTGACTCAACGCCTCGACAGCACACCGGCAACATTGTCGACGCCCCAGAAGTATTTCATGCGGTCATGCCCAGTGGCGGCAGTCTCGCCATGCCTTCAGTGCTGTCGGCGTCATCTGTCAAACCCCCGGAACCTCATGAGCGGACACTGCCCTTCATTATGCGTTGGAGAATCTCAACTTCGAGAGGTCCCCAGCAAAAATCGGGTGTAGACACAAGCGTGCATTCGCACCCCGCAATGCCTGACGGGAGTCGTGTCGGGGGGCAAGAGAGTCAGACAGCACGCCCCAGCAAAAGGTTCACCTTCACGCTCCGCTGCTGGGTGTTGTGCCCCCTCCTGGTGTTGTTGGTGGTGGTTGCCGTCATTACGATGGCGCTGGCGTTTCCAACATCGAAAAGCAGCTCACAAAGTGCTTTCGTCTCACTGCACGAGGTGGTGGTGGATAACATAGAGCAGTCCGTCGGACGCCTGACGATCTCCAAGATGAAGCGCATGGCGGTGGCGACGGGAAGCATGTACTTTTCTGGAAACACTTTTCCCAATCCCCGGACCGGCATTCTGATGCCGCTGGAAAGTGGCATGATGTCGCGCCTGTGTGGTGTTCTTCGCGACATGGATCCAGAGAATATGGTCTATTCTCTGGGCGCCGTTTCACTGACGAGGCAACAGGCCGCCGTATGCATTACTTCTCGCTCACGCCCCGGTAGCTTTGTTGGCACCGTGAGTCAGAATGGTGCCATTGACGGCTTCTACCACATTGACCCCCT